AAGGACAGCTGGGAAGGACCGGCCTCACCGAGACTTATCCGAGACGGGACAGCTGGGGTGTCCAGTCCTTTTTTTTGAATGTTTGGTCCACTCCTGACCCGGCAGATTCCTTGGAGCCGAAACCTCTTGCTGACTTAAAACGACTTGTTTTCTGAGGTGTATCAAGCCGTTCAAGCGGGCGGTGTCATCAAGGAACAGGAAGCTAAGGTGCCAGGGCCCAGAGAAACATTGGGAGGGTCTTGGATCTAAGGAATTTGCCGTTCTTTTTCTTCACGGCCAGTAGAGGATGTATGGCAGAGAATGTTCTAAGCCCAGGTTTTACATCTATTTTCCAGGTTCTACATGAGTCTCTTCATCCTCAACCAGTTCCAACCGACTTGCGTTCGCCCTGCGCGCACGTTCTTCACCCTCGCTCTGCGTGAACCCCGACTGCCTCGCCTGGGTTTGTTTGGTATGGAGGAACGAATATCGCCACAGCTGGCTCGGTGTGTCCCAGGTTTCCCCGGCTCAGCCGGGTCTGGGGAAAAGAGAAGAAAGACCAGCCGGTTCTGGTTGAAGATGCTCTTTTGCCCTAGGAATCCATTTTGTCTTGGGAGATGTTGCAAAGCAGCCATCCTCCACCTGGGGCCTAGGAAGGGGATATACCCAACATTATCCGCCATGACATGGAAGGTTGCATGCCAATCCGATTAAGACACTGGGAGACACTGGCAGATTGTGATGTACCGATGTACATGTTGTCAGGTGACACAGCCCAGTATTCACATTGAAACTTCACCGAGATCTCCTTTCAAAAAAGCTCTGAGCCGTCACCGTCGAATCTCTTTTGTAAATACAACCCAGGCCTTGTCCTAGTTTGTTCTCCACACACCAATTCATACCATTCTCACTTTGCTAAAATCCCCATTTCTTCACCCTCCTTCCAAGCAACTGCCACAGCGTTCTCACTTTGGGCCGCATGGATTGTTCTCATGTTCTCGTCGTGGTATTGGGTCATTTTGCCGTCAACTTTGACCATCCCTCGCATACGTATCAAGAACCGAGCATCTACTCCATGTTTTCAGATACTACTCTTGCCGGATGGCCGGTCAAGGGCTTTTCACATGAGACCCCAGTCCCCCAAAACGGAAGCAATACTGATCACCCTTGCTTTTGGACCGCTTCGGAATCCCCTGAAGAACCATACAAGAAAAAAGAACAAGCACACTCCGCTTCCGCGCGGATTTCCCGAAGCTTCCGGCCGCGTCGGCGGCGCCCGCGACCTCCCGGCCGCTCGCAGTTGTGGCGGGTGCCGGGCTTCGCCTGTGAACCAGGCGGCCCATGGGCATGCGACCGCGCGGGGTTTGCACAGCGCGATGCGGAGGTGGTTCGAGTCTTCAGGTCACAGCGGGAGTTGACGAGAGGGGATCAGGCGGACAACTCCCACTTTTTGGGAGTTCAAACACTGGACTTTGTGTGCACTGGCCGAGACCCTGCTTTTTCAATCCAACAACGAGGTAGTCGAACCTTTTGAGTGCTGCTCCAACCAAAAAAATGTCTTTCTCACTGTGATTTGAGGCTGGTCTTGAGGTGAGGCTGACTAGAGTCACCACAGCCTCCGATGAGTGAGTACCGTCCTCTTCACTTGATACTTATTTCATCTAGCGAATGAGCACCAACTGCAATCAATAGCCGGTGGATTTTGGAACATTTGCCTCACTCCTATGAAAGGCGGTTCCTTTTAAAAGGGCCCAGATGTGCCGAAAGACACATTCCCGTGAAATGCTTGCGGAAGCACGGCAAGCCCTGCCAGCTTTGCATGGCAAGCCCTGCAGGCTATCATTCCCTTTGGGTGGCACAGGAATACTGCGCCTTGGCCAATGCAGCAACGGTGCTTGGGGCGACGATGCATGCTTTCATCGTTCGAATTATGTGCCTGACAGCACATGCTGTTTGTGCCATCCATGTGCACGAATCCTGTAGAGCAGTCGATTCGCAACAACCTGAGCCGCTGACATTCGCTCATGTCGATGGGCCAACACCGCCCCTGTCCTGGTGAGAAACCTCTTCGCGTCGCGTTCGCGTTCGCGTTGGCTGGCGTTTCGGCCCCCGAGGCATCGGCACGAAACGGAAGCTGCCGCGCCTGTCGCAAGCAGAGGCGCCTGTGTGGGACTCCGGAGCCTTGGTGAGGTCGTTCGGTGAACCGATGCCGGTTGGGTTCGGAATTTGGGGTTTAGATCGTCGACATGTGTGTGATTTGGATCAAAAAGAAGGTGATTTTGTCATCGATACGATGCTCTATGGACTGGACTGTTTTGACCAGCTAACCGCCCAGTTGGTCAAAAGGGGAGGTCTTGCAGAGGGCTTGTGAAGAGGGCGGCCCCTTCCCGTCTGTTCCGTCGGTCGTCGGTCGTGGTGAAAATCCTTGACCGAACCAAGGGACTTGGTGCGAGTCCACGAACACGAGGGAGGCCCATTGTTCGGTTGACCGATCCCCCCCGTTGATCTCTACGACCAACAGAGGGAGGTCGTTGTTCGGAAAAAAAGACACGGCCGCGCTGAGGATTGCTGCTCCTCTTGCAGGTGTTCATGTTCCTCTTTGCCTCTCGGACTGGACTTCGGAAGTCGTGAACACGGGGGTGGCCAGGAGTTCGGGGGTTTCGGGGGGGGTGCCACGGGACTGTCGCCAAGAAAGAGGAAAGACACATCCGTGATGGTGTCTCTTGTGATCAATCTAAGACACTCTTCTACTGTACTACAAAGTGGTGTTTTTGAATGCTTTGTTTGGGTGGGGATCCCATGATAGAAGCGACAGCACCACATTTTTGCACAACAGATGGTTCACTGCTCTGACTGCTCACGCGGCAATGGGACTGAGCCACGCCGCCGGAGGTCATTTGTAACATCCGCCTGTGTAGGCTTGTGAGCTCCCCAAATTGGTCGACTTCTGTAAGCAAAACCCATGAGCGCTGTGTGCGTCACACAATGCTCATGAAGCTCCAGTGCTTGAATGGTTGTGCTTCTTTCCAGGTGATTCAATCAGAATGCAGTCATTATATCATGCCGTGAACTCACTTCCAGCTTGAGTTGACTGGTAGCACCAAACACCAAACACAACTTACCTGGCTGCGCCACTCTTCATGGTCTTTGCCAAAACTCCGCTCAAACATCAATTCACTTCAGTGGCTTCAACGCTGGTGTGGCACCCACCTCAGTTTCGCATGACAAGGCCCAGATTCCGTGTCGGGCACGAAACCCGAAAGCTATGCTGCTCATTGGTTTTAATAACATCTGATGAAACTTGTCGCTACTTTTAGAGATTTTAACCCACCTTGTCTCAATCAAACCGAGAGGGCGATTGCACAGGCGGTCTGCAGACAGAGCAAGCTGATGAAAACGGACAGTTCATGTCTAGCTCATGTCTGGCTGCCAGTCTGCTTGGGCTGTGGCGAAAGCTGCGTCTCAGTCGATCTATTGATGGGCATCCAGTCTGACTGGGCTGCGTCTCAGTCTATTCTTCGTCTCTGATGGCCGAAAGCGCGGTCTCCCGGTCCTGACGGCCTGAGCAGTTCCACGCCCACCGACCCCGCGTCAATGGGCGTGACGTGAAGACGAAGCTAGTGGTCTGTGTTGTGGTGTCTCCTGTACTGGCATCTCACATTTCTTGCATGATTCAGCACAGCTTGTTGTGCTTTACAGCTATCAGCAAATTGGCTGTGACAGTCTTCGAAAGCCACCATGCGAAGCTATGCTGGAAAGGCACAAAAAGATCACACTTGGCAAAGGGAGATTTGCTAACATTCACAATTTCCAAACTGCGAAATCCCTGAAAGTTGTTTGTGAGAAAAAGTGGGATCCAACAGAGCAGACATTCGACATTGCCAAGTATTTTGCAGGAAAGGGTTCAATGATGCTGGTAGTGCAATGCAGACAAGTTGCATTTCCAGCATTTGGCGTATCATCAAGGAAAGGGTCACGGACTGTTTCCAGGTCAAATGGAGGCTGTCAAGGTCATCCAACAACGAGTGATCCTACACCCGGATGAATCTCAACACAAACCGTGTCACATTTCTTCGATCGAAGCAAATCGTATGGTGAAACCACAGCGGAATCGTGAAGCAATCAACCGGATGTTTCCATATCAAATGGTTTAGGAGGTATGTTTCCATACCAATACAGTATGGATGTATTTGTTCCGGATGTAAACCAGCTATACATACCAATCCCATATCCGCATCTATACCTGGAAGATACATCTGGTGAACCAACCAGATGCGGATGCGAACGCCTTTGCTGACCACCCAGGTCGCCACGATTCTGGCGATTTCCCTCACCACCTTCGCTCGCCTGGCGGACACTTACTGGTACATGAGGCACCAACAGGGCCATCCTCGCCTGGCTTCGTTTTTGGAAGCCACAACAACTTGTGGAACTCTTGGATCTATATTTTTTGGAAGGTGCAACAATGCAGGGCGTGCAGGGATCTAGAATCTAGACTTCAGGTCTGTTCACTATGGGTGTGGTATTGGGAGATGATCAAAGATCAATTGGTCCAAGGAAGAACAGACGCTTCCAGAATAGCGGGTCCTTTCAAAATTCTGTGACACGTATCCATTTCGACCCGTATACTGGTGGATTAGTTGCGTGTCAATGTCCGTGCTATCGTCTTTCGGAAATTGATGGAGGAGTCAAATCGAAGGTGCTTCAGAAGGGTTGGACGCTGAAGGATGAGTTTGGCCACCTCCTTCTTGATCATCTGACTGACCAGGAGAAAATCTGCGTTAGCAGGAGACTGGCACACTCATGACCTGTACTTGGCACTTGGGAAGTGCTTCGCAAGCCCCCTTGGGAGACTTCTTTTCGACGCTGCAGCCAACTCGGCTCTCCGTGGCTAGTTGGGAAATCAGCTACATGCGTGCAGTATTGACTTCCGAGCCCAAGTGAATCGGCCGAATCGGGCCACTCTGTGATTGAATCGCAACATCCAAACACTCTCGCCATGTCGACCCCCCCCTATTCCCAGCCGTTCGACCTACCAACCGTTCGCCTCAGAGCTTGGCCATGGACAATTTTATCAATAGTCTGGCTGGCAAGCACGTGGTGCTTTCTGGCTGTGGTGGGGGTTCAGACGTCTTGGGCAGCAGCGTGATCTATGCGCAGATCAAAGAGACGGCCCGGAAGGCGAGATCGATGGCTGTTCGAGGCAGCCGGTGGCTCTTTCCAAAAGGAAGGGGTTCACAGGTATGGTTTGCGAGTTGCTTTTGGAAGAAGTAGGTAGGCGAAGCATTTGCACCACAGATTTGGTGGTCTCAACATACAAATCCAACCCTCACCAACCCTCAGGTCTGCGAAGGATAGGCTTATGATGGTAAACACGCAGACTTGACTGGATCTTGACGTCTTGTCGCGAGAAAAAGACCTGCCGTTGCTTGCAAAAGTCCTACATTGATGGAAGATGTACACAACTCTATAACTATAACTATATCAAACGGGGGGTAGGGATGGGTAGGGCCAGTTCGCACCCAAATTTGTTGGGTATTTTTTTGGGTGTTCGATCCAGGTGGTTTTCTTCAACTTCAGCTTTTCGAAGACAGAGCTCTTGGACGCGACGTGCGTGCCGATCTCGCCCAACTGCTGGCGTGTGGACCCCTGCAATGTGGCGCTGGAAGAGGACGTCGAGGACCGGTATGGGGAGTTGGGGTCCGGGCCTTGCCTCGTGCCGGCCACGGTCCAAGAGCTAGAAAGCTAGGGCCAGAAGCTTTCAGGTGACACCACATCTCGGTCGATTTTTTGGGATGTCTTCTTCTCTGGGTGTAGCCAAGATACATGGAAGCCGGCCTACCACGTTACCACGTGCTAAGTGATCTTCCGTTGGGGTGCAACTAGCTTGTTTGCATTCTGCGATCTTCTTGAGGCACCTGTGCCATGCGCCTTCAACCAGTGGATGCGTTTCCTGTGCCCCCAAAAGCCTTGAGGCCACATCAGGCCTAGCAGCCCTCTACCCTTGGGTGACCGCTGGTTGCGCTGCGCGCCATGCGCAGCGGAAAGCGCAGGAGAAGGTTTATTTCCCGGAGGCCCGCATGGCGAATGTCACTGGAATGGCCATTTATGCCTTCTCGCATGAGGCGACCATCCAACAAGTCACTGATGGGTACAAGGCCGTTGCGTCCGTTCTGCAGACGAAGGGGCAAAAGAAAGAAGGGGAGAAGGAACAAGATCACTCATCCGTCTGTGGTGCCCGTCATGCCAAATAGAGACCAAACCTTTGCAAGTACTTAGAATTGAGGTGCAAGGGAGACCCTAGGCTCTCAGACACCTGGCAGACGTAACACCCAAAGCTTTCGAACCTACTAGTCACTATAGTCATCCTATTCTGCTAATTGTATGTTTTTCCACACCTACGTTTCTTGGACCCCAACCACCACTCCATTCTTTGCTTGGTTTCGCAGGTGGCTCTTAAACAGGAGTTTGTCAGCTACAGCTGTTGGAAGAAGCGAGGAGCCGATGTGCTTGTGCTTTGTGATGGTGGCTGCGACGTGCTCCTCACCGGCCTAGAGAGTGGACTGGCGACGCCCAGTGAGGAGAGCGCTCGCGCTCGCCGGATTGGGAGACTCGGAGGGTGGCCAGAGACTTGGAGGGTGGCTGCAGGTGAGACTCGGAGGGTGTTTCGATGCCCCCAGCCTTAGGAATTAAATTGAGGGGGGGTACTGAGTCTCAAATTAATTTCCGCCAATTAATTGTGGACATTGCCGACATAGGATGTTGGGGGGGGAGTCCAAAAGTGGTCGGCATGAGGAAATGCATGGTCTGACAGCAGAGAGGTAAACACTCCCCACCAAAAAATAATTAATTTGAATTAATTGTGAGTGGGGGGGAGGGAAATTAATTAATTGGAAGACGGTGGAGGGGTAAGGTACCTATGAATTAATATCTTGTTCAATGATGTTTCAAATCCTGGCACTGGTGGAGAAGATGAAAGAAACAAAGGGAAACAAGGGAAACAGCTTTGTTTGTCCAAGGCTTTTAAATGCTCCTGCTGTTTTGCTCAAAGAGGGAAATGAAATGAAAAGCATTGAAAAGTATAGCAAAGGATTCAAGCAGAAAGAAACAATGTAACAAAGACAGAAAATTGACTAGCAAAAGATAAGCAATAGTCTCAATTTAATTAACTCCCCAGGCCTGCAATTAATAAAAAATTAAATTTTGGGGGGGACCTAGTCCCCCCCCCCCTAAGGTAGGGGGCATGTGTTTCGACTTCGCTCCTTTTGGGCTGCCAGAACCCAAACCCGAAACCCGAAACCTTAGCTGCCGTGAACTGAGCGCCCGGGGGCCCCGGAAGCTCCAGATCTGACAGAAGGTTGGCGGGTGTTTTCACACCATTCGCGCCACTGCGGTTGGCGGGTGAACAATGCGCAAATGCCAGTATATAGTTACAGTTATAATTAGTTGTAGCTGTAAATGAAGAGAGGTAGAGAATTGTAGAGATGTGGGTTCACTGGGACCCCCAACTACAAAGGGTGCGTCTCGGAATAGGCAGACATTCAACAAAAGTCCCTCACAAACTTCACACACGATCTGGTTCAGTACATGAGTTCATTTAGATTGAGATATATAAGCCCCGATAAGCCCCATCGTTTGGTTCCCTACTGGCCAGCATCATCCAGTTACTAGCTCTGCTTCTGCCATTTCGCGAGGACATGACTCATCTCAAAGCGATTTTGCCCTTGAACATCCCACAGAAGTACATCGCGGTGCTGGGGGCCAATGTGGACTGTGCTCATGGCGTCGTACCAGAGGCACGACTTCAGCGGCTGAAACGCCTTCAGCGTCGTTTGGTTTGACTCGCATTGAACTGGGTCTCTAACGTGGACTCGTTCGCAGACGAAGGAAGTGGGCCGGTGGGCCCTTTTTCGGGTCGGACGTATTTTGGGTGGGCTGGAGCATGGATGGAAGGATTCTGCTCTCTAGGGGATGCCTGGCCAGGGCCGGAGATCATCAGCCAATTCGCGAAAGGATACATTGAACTCCCTCCAAGAGACCTTTTTTTCCCGAATGCGTAGCGCCGTCCGCAACCGTTCGCAACCGTCCGCAAGTGTTCGCAACCGTTTGCAGTAGAGCGCTAAGGCGCTGCCATTGGGGGAAGCTTTTGCAAGCGACTATTCATGGATGTGTCACGTGTCAGTTTGCGCCGCTATTCTATTGTGATTTGCATGAAAAAGACATGTCGCGCAAGAAACGTGATGCGTTTCGCTGCACAGGCGCAGCGTTTGGTGAGATCTGCAGATTGCTGCGCAGTTCCATTGGGATTAGCGTTTGGAGAGTCGTGTTTTTGGGGGGTTGGATGTGGCCGTGCCATTGGGATTTGCGTTTCAGGGTGTGGCATCGAAGCTCGGTTTTCGTGACAAGTTTCAGCTGAAATGGCGACTTTGGTGGATGGGAGTGTGCTCAGGACGGGTCGAAATCATTCCAAACGTGTGGTGTGGTGCAAATTTGGTTGAAGCTCACATGAGAGGATATTCACTTTTCGTGGCAGGCGCAGGACTTTGTGCGGGTTTTGGGGCGTGGAAGTGCGATTCTCGTGGCAGGCGCAGGGAATCGTGAGGTTGCGAGGTGTGACGGAGGTGGCATTTCGTGGCAGGCGCAGTACTTTGTGCGCGTTAGACGTGTGGACGCGGAATGATTCGTGGCAGGTGCAGGGAATCGTGAGGTTGTGAGTTGTGGTAGAGGTGAATGTCGCTGTCACATTGGGATTGGCGTGTGAGCGGATGTTGTTTGGAGGGGCTGGAATCGCAAAACTGCTTGGCAGGGCTGCGTGATGTGTGTGCTCCGATGGGTGCTTCCGCTTGACTTTTGGAGGAAGTCTCGTACGAAACGCTCGTTTTGCAGACTTTGACGTGTGAGTTTTTGAGGACGTCTCGTGCGAAACGCTCGTTTTGGAGACTTGACGTGTGACTTTTTGAGGAAGTCTCGTACGAAACGCTCGTTTTGGAGACTTGACGTGTGACTTTTGGAGGAAGTCTCATACGAAATGCTTGTTTTTGAGACTTGACGTGTGACTTTTGGAGGACGTCTCGTACGAAATGCTCATTTTTGAGACTTGACGCGTAACTTTTGGAGGAAGTCTCGTACGAAACGCAGCATGACTTTTGGAGGAAGTCTCGTACGAAGAGTGTGCCCTACAAGAGTGTCCCACAAGAGTGTCCTACAAGAGTGTCCGAAGAGTGTGCCCTACAAGAGTGTCCCACAAGAGTGTCCTACAAGAGTGTCCCACAAGAGTGTCCTACAAGAGTATCCCACAAGAGTTTCCTACAAGAGTGTCCCACAAGAGTGTCCCACAAGAGTGTCCTACAAGAGTGTCCCACAAGAGTGTCCCACAAGAGTGTCCCACAAGAGTGTCCCGTATGAGTGTCCCACGAGAGTGTCCCACAAGAGTGTCCCGCAACAGTGTCCCACAAGAGTGTCTCACAAGAGTGTCCCTTAAGAGTGTCCCACAAGAGTGTCCTATAAGAGTGTCCCACAAGAGTGTCCTACAAGAGTGTCCCACAAGAGTTTCCTACAAGAGTGTCCCACAAGAGTGTGCCACAAGAGTGTCCCACAAGAGTGTCCTACAGGAGCGTCCCACAAGAGTGTCCTACAAGAGTATCTTACAACATGTTCCTACAAGAGTGTCCCGCAAGAGTGTCCCACAAGAGTGTCCCACAAGAGTGTCCCACAAGAGTGTCCTACAAGAGTGTCCCACAAGAGTGTCCCGTATGAGTGTCCCACAAGAGTGTCCCACAAGAGTGTCCCGCAACCGTGTCACACAAGAGTGTCTCACAAGAGTTAAGAGTGTCCCACGAGAGTGTCCTATAAGAGTGTCCCACAAGAGTGCCCTACAAAGAGTGTCCCGCAAGAGTGTCCCACAAGAGTGTCCCACAAGAGTGCCCTACAAGAGTGTCCCACAAGAGTGTCCTACAAGAGTGTCCCACAAGAGTGTCCTACAAGAGTATCCCACAAGAGTTTCCTACAAGAGTGTCCCTTAAGAGTGTCCCACAAGAGTTTCCTACAAGAGTGACCCGCAAGAGTGTCCCACAAGAGTGTCCTACAAGAGTGTCATTTGGACATATGTAGCTTTTCGAACGTGTTTGCATTCGGGTTCGTGGGCTCCATTTTTTTTGATTTTTTTGACATGCAAAGAGGATAGATCTTTTGTGGGGAACCTGGAAAGCTTAGCAGGTTCGTTTGGAGGACACTCTGACCTTTGGGGAATGGGAGTTTTGGTGTCGTGAAACACCACCCATAGGTCCAGCCAGTCAGACTATTCAGACTGGTGAGTGGTTTGGAATGGTTTGGAAGATCCGTAAGATTGGTTTTGAAACCAGGATGAAACAATGTTAAACACCAGAGCACGATTCCGGAATGACCAACCTCGGTGGGGCTTTGGGATTTTCCTTTGACCCACTTGGAGACCGCTTATGGAATTGTTGAACCAACAACAAACAGGATTTCCATGCGACGAACTGTCTCAGGTTGACCAAGCGCAAATCAGGTCGGGTGTGGAGTTGATGCTTCTCATCAAAGAAGGCCAAGACAAGAAAGAGCCTGGACCAAGACTTAAATAGATAGAAATAGAAATAGAAAGGACCTCCAGAAAAAGAAATTACAGGGATCTTTTATATATGTTTTCAGTTCACTCCATTGTCACTCGCCATCGGCCCGTTGGAATTCTTCCATCAGCCATCGGTCACTCGGACCGAATGGACCGCCCGTGCGGTCCACCTGCGCCACGGCCGCGGGTGGCGGGTGCTGTCCGCGTAGCGCAGGAATTGGATCATCGCTTGAGTGACCTGGAAGACTCGGGCACCATGCTTTGTTCGGCACCGCCCCTGGGCAATGTTGACTCCGCCTTTCTCGGGGAGTCGTTTCGTCTCTTCGAAGCTGTGTTTAGAAGGCAGAACTGGACCCAGCCAAAGCAAGAAGAGTCTATGACATCTTTGGAAGTCGTTTCCAAGTCGTTTCGTTCTGGACATTTGAAGCCCGAGCAGTCGGTCGTTGCGCTCCAGTCGTCGTTTTCATCTCCGGTCGGTCGTTGCGGTCCAGAAGCCCATCAGCTAACTTGGGCAGAACTTGGTCTTGACAGGTTGCATTTCACACCATCAGTGGGCAGACAGTGACTTCGGTGAAAGAGTTGTTTAAAGCCAGTTCTTTGTAGGAAACTAGAAAGTGAGGAAGAAGGCGACTGAAAGGATCAGCCTGTCATGTGTCCCTCCTGAAAAGCAGACACATAATCCCCAAATCCTCCACAGGGTTGAGCTTTTCCTTTTGTCCCCTCGATGAACATGGACCCCCCCACTCACTGGCTTGGTCTTCGATAGGCTGGTTCTTGTCTCCACCTTCTTCGGTCCATTCTCGTCGTTTCTGGTCGGAACTGACCGGTGGCGTTTCAAACACCGTCGCTTCGTGGGTTCCCCACGGTCTGCGTTTATCGTTTCGCCTCAGGATCGCGGTGGACGATCTCGCTGGACGTTACTTCGAAGACTTGGTCCTACGCTGTGCACCCACCAGCTCCATGGCCCCAAAAAAGCGGGTGGGACCCGCGCCAAAAGAACAAGGGCATGCTTTTCATGCGGGTGGCAGTATTTTAGAAACATTAGCCTCCAACCTAATAGCGATGGCCTTACTAGCGATGGCCTCCAACCCAATAGCGATGGCCTCCAACCTACTAGCGATGGCCTCCAACCCAATAGCGATGGCCTCCAACCCAATAGCG